TATATTTTCTTTGAAGTGTTGAGTAATGCTCAATCCCACATAGTATTGGAAACACTATTGGGAAGTGTATTTAAGGCTTGGATTTCCCATTTTCTTGTTGAGTGAAAGAGAACAAGGGGGACTCTCGCGCGCCGCCGCCGCCGTCTCGTCTCGGGTCGGGTCGGGTCGGGTCGGGTCGTGGTCGTGGTCGTGGTCGTGGTCGTGGTCGGGTCGTGGTCGTGGTCGGGTCGTGGTCGTGGTCGGGTCGTGGTCGTGGTCGTGGTCGTGGTCGTGGTCGTGGTCGTGGTCGTGGTCGTGGTCGTGGTAATACGTGTCTTCGACACGTCCGCGCGGATACTATCTTTTTAGAGAAAATTCTTAAGAAACAAAATCTTTTTTGAATTTACTATAGACTATCGCAACGCGATTTTCAACTATCGCAACGCGAAATGCAACGCGAATTTGCGATACTGAAAATCGCGTTGCGAATTAGAGATCGCATTGCGATTTTGTTGGTCATTTTGGCAAATCCAAAAAATTGGTTAAAATCGTATATTATAAGGCATTTTTGGTCACTGAGACGATTTTCTCATTTTATTACCTCCAAACTCTTAGGTATTAAAAAAATTTCATCATTTTGGATAATAATAACACTAGACTAATGAATCTTTTTTATGATGGTCCTTCTCGATTCTTATTTTTTATACTTTATTCAAAATTATAAACATAATAATAATATACAAATAGTTCAATTTAGTAAAATATTAATAAATTTGAATATATGAAATTATTTTATATTTTAATATTTAATATATTGATCATTTGTAATGTTATGGGGTAAAAATATATTATTGTAAAACTATAATTATTTAAAATAATATCTAATTTTAAGTTATTAAAAATAGATCTTATATATTGAAAAATAATTTTTGTCTACCCGAGACCATAATATTATTTTTTTCATATTATATTATAGTTTATATAAATAAATATGATACTTATGAAAGTTATTTAAAAATATAAGTTTAATATACTAATTATATATGAAATGTATTTTTTCTAAGAAGATAGAAAGTATAACGATTAAAATATTTCTATACATTTTCATTCAAATATTTATAATTTAATATTAAAGTTTAACTTTTAAAAAACATATATAACAAGGATAATTAAGTAAAATATGCATTCAAGTAATCTTATATTCCTCTAACCAAACACTATAATTTTATATTCCTCTTAAACAAACCATATAATTTTATATTCCTCTTAAACAAACCATAAAAGGCAATACAACATTCATGCAGTAATGTTACGCAATGTTTTCAAAATCGGACTGGACATTGAACCGGTGAAGGTACTGGTTCACTGGTTCAACCGGGTTCAATCGCGGTTGAACCGGATTTTATATAAAATAATATATTTTTTAATTTTACATAATATTCAAAGCAATATTAATATATATGTAACACTTTTTTTAAGTTTACAATATTAAAAGGTATAAAAATATCACAAGTCATAACATGTATAAATGAAAAACTATAAAATCAAGTGAAACAAAATGATTCAAATCAACTACAACATAATATTTAAGATAAAATATATTAAATAATAAATATAATTATATAACTATAATCAAAAAAATAAAATTGGGGTTTAAAAAAATCATAACAAATGATGTCATTTGGTTTAATTGTTTTAAAAAAAACAATCTCACATGGCTAAGAAACATAGAAGAGTATCCCAAAAGTTTAAAGAGTGAAAATATGAGAACAAAACAATCCCACATGGTTAAGAAACATAGAAGAACATCACAACTTACTTCTATAAATAATAGAGGTAATTTGACATTCAAAATCATGGAGCCTTTTGGTGAGCACAAAGCGAACTATTTTGTCGCTTCAATTGAGCTCAAATTTTAGGCTTCAATTGAGCTCAAATTTTAGGCTTCAATCGAACTTCTAATTTTTTTTTAAGTTCGAGCCTTTTCGATTTCAAGTTTTAATATTATATTTCGAGTTGATAATTTTTAGCTTGTGAGTTTTTTAGTCGAGTTGAGCTTACTTTTAAAGCTTTCGAGTTCGAGTCGAGCTCAGCAATACTCGAATTTGACTCGGCTCGTTGAACAAATGACGTTGTTTGGTTTATTTTTTTTAAAAAAAGAAAAAAAGTGAACCGGCGGTTCAAACCGGTTTTGCTGGTTTTCAGCCGGTTCACCCTGATTTTCCCGGTTTTCAGCCGGTTCTTTCGGTTCTTTACCGGTTCTGTGCTAATCTGGTTTTGGGAGTTAACTGGACCGGACAGGCCACTGGTTCAACCGGTCGAACCGGTCGGTCCGGTCTGATTTTAATAACATTGATGTTACGTTTCAGTAATATTATTCCCAAAGTTAATTTTACCTTTAGTGAAACAAACGCCCCCTAAAAGTTTTTCGATTTTTCCCACACAATGTAAGAGTTCATTTAGTTCTATAAAATATATTTTTTTAAATTTTTTTTTATTTTCAGAAAATAGCTTTCATTTTTACTTTTTAAAAATTAGAAAACATGTTTGATTAATATAAATGAAAACTTAAATTTAGAAATAAAAATAGTGAAAATGTATTAGGTATCTAAATTTTAAAAATAAAAATGAACAAATAGTTATTTAATAATAAAATTATATGCAAATATAAAATAATAAAGTTGATAAGAAATTTCATAACAAAAATAATTTTAGATTATAATAAGAATATAACGTAAATGTATATTGGGCATCAATTAAATTTAAAAAAAAATACACAAAAAATGTTGTAAGCAATAATATACAAAAGTATCATTAAACTAAAAAAATAACTTTAGTTGTAATTGAGACCCTCAAACTTTTTTCTTTTTGGCAAAGGGGGCAATGTAGTCCTTAAACTTTTTTGCATTCAATATGACCCTTAAATTAAGAAAAAAAGTCAATTTAACCCTTCGACCGATGGATTTAAATGTTGATTGTCATGATGCTTACATGACAGTTCATGAACCTTACATGTCATTCTAAAACGTTGATGTGATAGTTCACAATACCGTTGCGGTATTACACGATGGACGATGTTATGGTACATGAACTTAATTGTTTTTTTGGCTAAATTTGAGGCATAATTGATTTTTCAAAAAAGTTTGAGAGCTTATTTAATTTTTTAGAAAAATAACAAATTATTTAAATATAAAATATAAACAACTATTAAGATATTCAATACAATAAATATAAAAATATTATAAAGTTAAATTATTAAAAAGTTCAGTTTAAGGACTATAACGAGTGTAGAAAAATTAAGGACCGAATTAATTATTTTTTCAAAAATTTGAGAGTCTTAGATACCATTTTTTTTTCCTTCAAAATTTCAAAATAACTTCAATGAAAATATTGAAAACATTTTTTTATGTTTTCATAGTTTGTACTATTAACGTTACCTGCAAACGAATTTTTATAAACATGACAAAAAGAGATTTTTTTTAAAGTAAAATATGAGAACAACAGTAAAATTAACAATTTAAGTACAAGTGAATGAATTTAAAACCAATCTCTTATTTAATTCATACTAATCACTCATAAAATAGGTTAAACTATTAATTTTCGAATAAATGATCCAATGACAATAACGATAACAATACCAATGGTATCCATTTTAATCATTTTTCATAAAATATAAGTATTAAATTTTGGTAAATGGATAGCATTGGGTAGAAAGAAATAGATGAAAAATCATAGTTTAATACTATCGATAATTAATTATTATAGTAGAATGAGATATTAAATTCCTTAAATAAAATCATAAATTTAAATCTTAATATTTGTGCGTGAAACAAACAAGGTTAAGAGCAGTAGTAGAGAGAAGTATATATATATATATTCTCTAAGGTAGGTATGTGTCCACCTCAAAATATGGATTTCTTTATGTTAGTTGTCCATTTTACTAAAAGATGTCCACTATGAATATTTTTGTTTACCTCATACTAAAAATTTCTATTAATAATATACATGTGTCCACTAAAATATATTTTTAGATATATCACTATTAAAAAGATAATCCTTACTTTGTTTTTATAGAAATAACTAATTCTATTCGAAATAGGAAATTAATTAGGAAATTTTCCTAATCATTAAAATAAAACTAGCAACTTAAGATCATATAAGGACCATACAAAGAAATATTAAATCTAACCATGAAACTCGAACAAAGATAGATATAAATAGATCTGATCGTATAGACAAACGAACCACAAAAAGAGATCAAGCTATTGAAAGACCACTAACAAACAACAAATCATACTCGAGCGACGTGAAAAACTATCAACGAATGTAAATCGGGTATCCAAATCCAATCTAAGGGTCCAAAGCAGAGAATATCAACAAGATATCAGATAATCATCATCTTGATCAGTCGTGACGATATCAAATCAACGCTTAAAAAAAGATAAATGAAAAAAGATCAAAGAATTAAAAAACATGAAGAAAAAAATGTGTAATACACGATGATGAAAATATACAACACAAGCATATTTATTAAAAAAATAAAATAAAGATACAATATGAAAAAGAAAAAGATAATAAAAATACCGACGATCGACAACAATACTAAAATTTGTACCTCCATCGATTATCCTTACTTCTATACTATTTATTTTAAATTAATTAATTAATAAATTAGATACATGTTATCATATCTAAAAAAGAATCACAGCCCATTAATTAGTCCCGCTCCATGTATATTTTCCAAGGGGTCGAAAAAGATTTGGGAAGGAAAGTGGCAGTCGACGGAAGTTTCAAAGGAAGAAAGGCAATAGGGACCTACCCTTTGACGTCATCTTTGCAAGCAATTTAACAAGAAAAAAGATTGCACCAAATTTATCATACTCGGAATCCTCAAAAATTAAAACTTTAAGAACAGCCTCCACTGATTATAAAATCTCATTATGGGGTCAAAGTTGATTTTCAACGTCAATATCCAAAACACCAATCACAGCATTTAAGAACCCAGTTGGTCTTTGTTCTCATCCTTGCTAATGGTCAACCAAAAACCAACCTTTCTCTCTTCTCCAATACATAATATTTTTCTGGTCCTAATTTTATTGCCGCTGGGAACTACCGTGTTTGATAGTTTTGGGGCTATGTATTCACACCTAAACTGAAAGTAAATAATACCCTTTTCATCTGATTCTTTTTTGATTCTGGGTTTTGGCCAATTTGATCAAATACAGCAGTATATCGATTATCTAGCAAAGGGAAGGAAGCCACTTGGTTTTTTTTTTATTATATGTTGAAGTTGAAAACATGAGCAAACATTCATCTGTTGCAGGTGCCTCTCGCCCTGTTAAAGAAGATGGCTTTTTGAAAAAAATCAAGGTAACCCTTTTCTATCTTGCTTTTGGTTTTATTCAATTACTTGGATTGAGTTTCGAGTTATACCTAGAAATATAGGTTTGGGTTTGTGTATATGTATATGTATGAAGTTGAAATATTACATCAATACATGAGCTAGTTTGTAGCCCTCTGAATTTGTGTTTGGGTTGCAGAATGTTGCTTGCCTGAAATCTTCCTCATCGGACAAGGGGAAAGGGGGAAAAGGGAAAATCAAGTCATCAAGTTACAAAGTCTCCCATGGTTTCCACTTAGTGGAAGGTCAATCAGGCCATAATATGGAAGATTACCATGTTGCTGAGTACAGGAAAAAGAGGAATCATACCCTTGGATTGTTTGCAATCTTTGATGGTCACTTGGGGGATCGTGTGCCTACTTTTTTGAAAGACAACCTTTTCAATAACATACTCGAAGAGGTATTTTTCTTCTTCTTCCCATTACATCTCTTGTGTTCCAAATTTGATTTGCTTGTTATGTTATACTTGGCGTAAATATGATGGTACAGCCGAATTTCTGGAGAGACCCCGAGGCTGCGATACGGAATGCATACTCCTCCACGGATAAGCTTATATTGGATAACTGTATGCAATTAGGACCCGGAGGCTCCACCGCTGTAACTGCAATTGTCATTGATGGCAAAGATTTATGGGTAGCAAACATTGGTGACTCTAGAGCTGTTGTGTGTGAGAGGGGATCTGCCAATCAAATTACGGTCGACCATGAGCCGCATACTGAACGAAGAAGGATAGAGAATCAGGGTGGCTTTGTGACTACACTTCCTGGTAATATGCTTGTTATAATTTACCTTTTATCTCTCTCTGCACGAGGGTCAATCCGAACCAATTATGCCACATTGATGTACTGACAGATGGGGAAATGTGAATTCATTTCAGGAGATGTGCCTAGGGTTAATGGTCAACTTGCTGTAGCACGGGCTTTTGGAGATCAGAGCCTTAAAGCTCATTTAAGCTCAGAACCTGATATCAGACATGTCCCCATAGACTCCACAATCGACTTTGTAATACTGGCTAGTGATGGTTTGTGGAAGGTCAGTTGTTAAATATGTCATTATTTATAGCACTTGCCACTTTAGTATGTTTCTTTGATCTCCATTCTGCATCTCTGGTTTCGTGGTGCATGAAGCACCCAAGGTAAGGAAATTTCATGAATGTTAAGCTGTATACTAAATAAAAACTATGCAAGAATTGGGGGGTGGTAGACTGTAGCCTGATTCACCTGAAAAAAAGGGAAAGTAGTTAAACAAATAAAAGAACCAGAGAAGAATAACATTAGTTTTTACGAAATAGAATAGCATAAGTGCCTACGAACTATAACTTAAAATGTAACCGTGTAAGAAATTGAGTTAGAAATATGGTTCAAGCCTTGTTTTTAGATAACGCTTTCCCATGAAGTGTTGTCCTTTAAAGGAACCTACATATTGAATGATAAAAATTACAGTTTTTACCTCAAAGTAGTTGTTAGGCTTTGAAAAGAGCAGAGATTTGTATCACCTTTGTTGTTACACTTCACTAATACTAAAACACATTTCTGGAATTCTTATTTGGCTGATCTCTTTCTCTTTAAACATTGTGGAAGCGATGGAGGGAGATATAGAAATTCTAAAAGCAAAAGAACATTTTCATTTTGAATGCTAATTACTAGTTTATCTATGGAAAATTGAATGACCAACCTACTCCAAGCAAGTTAATTGCATCAACAATATGAGATTGGGCCAACTCAATCTCCGTTGTTGAATAGATTAGGCTCCATTTATTAAATCTTTAAGAACTCATAATTTGACTGGGGCCTAATTGATAAGAGATATCTTGTTTATTTCCTGTTGGAACTTGGAAGAATTATTGCTTCACTCTTTCAGAAATTAATATGGCTGCTGCATATACAATTTGTTTGGTTGAAGTAAGAAAAATTTGCTTTCCTGCTTTCTAATTTTTATTTGTCGTGTCTGATCATTGTTGAATAAACAAGTTCAAACTAGTTTCTTAGCAAAATGATTTTGGTATCAAAAGCCTACAATCCTTGGCAATTACAGAACAGTGTTCGACAAAGTTGCGAGCGGAAATACGTAGGAGCTTGAGTGTATATGGACTAAGATAAAACATAGATTGTAATTTGCAGCATAATGATGAGATTATTGAGAATAAAACACAATTGTTCGATAAAATGCTTGAGGGAATGAATAACATATTGTTGTAAACAATTTAGTAATTCCGAGGTTGATAATAATGTAGGCTCTCTAATTGAACAAAACCAAATCATGGCAGCTTCTATCGATCTCTTCCTTATCCCATGCTTCATACCCTCCTAAACTCATCTCGAGAAAAACCATGGCAGTTACAGCCAACTTCACTCGATTGTCTTTTTCATTAACCCCTTTTGAACTCATATCCAACAACTGATCCTCTTATTTCAATCTGATACAAAAAACCTCCAACTCTACATTGGAAAATTTTAATGGATTTAAACTTGTTGGATTACTTAGTGAAACAGATATTAGGGACGGACACTTGATTGTTAGTTCTTCTGTTGTGAAAATTTGTGGAGATACACACCTCTATTGATTTTGACTTTTAGTAAAGAGAAGGAAAATGGTGTTGCAATGTTTATTAAAATAGCCTTTGATTCGATGATGATGATAATTGACGGATGTGTGAACATTGAGCAAATTCCAATCACTCAAGGAAGCTACCTTTTGCCTAGTGTATCCTAGCGTCAAGGTTAAGGGCAATTTTTCTCCGGGAGAGGAGTAATGCCATGGATGGACTGAAGCTATGTTAGGAAAGGCCATTACTTTCTATTCTCTAATTAAGGCCTTGATTGTGATTTTATTACTTTCCTTAAGTTTCCTGGTTGTGTTTTTATTTCAATTGATTCATTTCGTTTCTAGAATAGGTTATCTAGTTATGTAATAAGATCAATCTTTATTTGAAGGGGATGTATATACTAATGAACCCTAAGCAAAATTCTATCGAAAACCTTAAAGATAGATTTAGGTTTCTCTAACTAGTCATAAGGTTTTTGTCTCCCTTTGATGAGCTGAACTATTAATCATGTTTTACCTCCTCCGGACCTCCATCGTAAACCTCATATCCATGGCCATTCCTCCGCCTATTGAATCTCGAAGCCTCCAGAGTTTCATATCCTCTGGCCAGCTACAATCCCTTGACATAACACCACTGACAGCCTCACGCGATCAACCTGCTAAATCTACTACCTGACAGCCAAATCTATTTATCCCGCCGACCTACAAATAGCCAACATTACTATAGACCTGACACTAGCTCTAAGGACATGTATGTAAATCACCATGTGGGTTGTATATAAAGGACAATGCAAGGCTGAAGAAGGGGACTCTCTCTCCCTCTCTCTTTCTGACAACTATTCAACATTTTCTTTAGCTCATCTATTCTCTGGGACTTTTCGTCCAAACGGCAAACCGTCGAACCACCACAACCCCATTTCTCCCATCAACAAATCACAATAGGTCGGAACAAATTAGGTCGTTCTTGTGTACAAAGGTGCTAGGTTTACAAGTCTGTAGTTATTGGTAAATCCATTAATCTATAACTTTAGAATTCATGGTTTTAGGGAAATTCATGTATAACAAAGAACAAAGCCCTTTGGTGGTGTTTGCTATCTGTTTTGCTAAAATTGGTGGTAAAGATAAATTTGAGCAGGAAATGATAAATGTTATGCATTATCATTAATGGAAATGGCGTAGGGTTCCTTTGGTTTTATGTTTTTAAACAGCCAAAATAACTTGTTTGATTCGTTTGGCAGGTAATGAAGAATGAAGAGGCAGTAAACTTGGTGAAATCCATGAAGGACCCGCAGGTGGCAGCGAAACGATTAACAACTGAAGCATTAGCAAGAAAAAGCAAAGACGATATATCATGCATAGTAATTCGATTCGGCTAATGCGGTCGGCATTTTCCGTTCGGTTTGGTCTCGGAAGGCATAGTACACAGGGGAACTCTTTCGAGTTGGGGAGAGGTTGGAGGTTTCTTTGTAGGGACAGTGATGATGTGTAAGCTATTAGTTGAGATAGAAGTGTGATGCATTTTTTTTGTTCCTGGAAGGCTTCCTCCTTAATCCTTGATTACGAACATGAACAAGTTTGCATATATGGACTTAATGTGTCGGCGTTCGGATTGGCACTGCTGCCATAAGTATAGTTATACGATAATACAGACTGGTGAATGTGATTGAAAAGTGAAAGATTCAACAGAGATTGATTCTAATCAGCTGCATGTTCACTGTGTGTGGATACATATATATTTACTTACACTCCATTCCATTACATGTTTTACAATACCAGACCGTATAACTTAGGTATTTTGTGTCCAACTTTTACCCGTATACTGCACTTGAACTCCTTGACAAGAGCTTTTTTCTATTTTCCCCTAAAGACAAGAATGTGATTAGGTTTTTACAGAAAACGAGCAGAGACGTGTGGTGCTCGCACAACTTTACACATAGGAGTGTAAATGAATCCGATTTGAATGAATAATATTATGTTCGTGTTCGTTTGATTATTTTTGAATATGTTCATATTTGATTCACATTTCTTTAATTTTTTAATAGTGTTTGGTTCGTTTAGCGTTTTTGATCACGTTGGTTTATATGTTCACTAATATGTTCGTTTATGTGTTCACTAATATGTTCGTCTTGAGTTTGCCAATATATTTGTTTATCATTTGTTCAAAATTGATGAAATTAGGTTACGAGTTCTTAATCTCCTTAGGTTTTACAATTTGATTGCAAATGCACTTATTCAAACACATAACATCAAGAGAAAACAACTCTTTTTTTTTTACCACTGATACTTCTCAGTAAGTTGATAATTTTATACTTATACAACTTTTGAGATAGTATAATCTTGAAACAAGTGGCACAAGATTTATGAGTAGAAATTAATCTACCAAAACACTAGTTTTAAATCATGAGGTGTCGTGCTACATCCGGATAGCCATTTCACTGTTTTTGGGAACCCTAAACTATAATTGTGGCGTCCAATGGGCAGTGTGTACGGTCGGGGGTTGTCCTGTTCTCAAGAAATATACTCCAACCCTTCACATCCAAATAGTACAAGCCTAAAGCTTTAATGGAGGTGGCTTTGAGTTTAGTGAATCCCAATAACAATTAATTCTTGTTTTCTTTCCTTAATTTCTTGTTGTTCGAGTCGTTATCGTAAGTTGGAACAGAATTTTCCACTTCCTTTCATTGGTCTATGCTGCCGTAATCTGCACACATACACACCATCGCATCAAATCAATGAAAGAACCCATCCCAGGATTTGAATTCGACCAGTTCCTACTCCCTATTAGGATCGCAAATAAGATGGGTCAGATTATAAGTCACTCAAGTTTGATTTACTCAAAATTTGGTCAACGTTCTATTTGAATAGATTTGACTCGAATTCTTAATGATCGAAATAAGTTATTTGACTTGGCTTGGCTTACAACCCTATTTCCATGGGTAGGGATAGACCGAGGGGATGACGGGTTGAAAAATCTTAAATTATCATATAATTCAAATAATTTTTTATTGAAAATCTATTTTAGATCCTTAAAATTTTATAATTTCATCGACAAAAATCTTATAAATCTATCCTCGACATAAAATCATATCTCGGTCTCTACCTATTGGAATCGAAGGTTGGTGAGTACATCAATGGTGTGGTGCCTAAAATTGGCCTCCTATGCACGTTATTACCTTTTGAGGAGCCTTTTACTCCAACCATTGGACTGTTATTATTTATTATATACATAAATGTAATCATCAATGAGAAGCCTTGAATAATGAATCATTCTCCTGGGGACCCTCCTGCAGCTTACATCCACTTCATGCAGATGAAGGTAGGTCCTTTAATTTTGACTCATTACTATCTGTATAATATATTCGAAGGAATTGCACTTCTTTTTTTATCATAGAGGAGTTTCAAAATCTCAAGCATGCCAGTGAGTTGATACACTTTTTAACTCGTTCTGATCCATTTATGTTCATCTTCTTTTCACTGATTCTCTGGAATCATTAGGCCATGGATTCGAAGAAATCGATTCGGGATCTTGGGGAAACAATTCATTCCTTACTGGGATTTAAGTCGCCTATAAATTCTGCTTGGGTAAAGTCCGTTTGCCAGATAATAAAAAGTTTGCCAAACGAAGATGGAGATGCTGCAGAAGAATTCTCCAAGATAAAAGGTTCTCTCTATTCTTATCTACCAATAGTGTATCCGTTTAATTTTGTTGTTCCTCTTCCAAGTTATTATCCCTCATTATTCTTCTGTTTATTGAATCTCGATGTTTTTAGAGTACTATATTCAGAAATCAACTACAATCTTTTGACACGATCATTGATAAATTTCATGTGATCTAAAGGTTAAATGTATTATCTGAGAATCCTATTTATTATCTTACTAACCTATTAATAGATATCATCATACTATGCCTGACATTAACATTAGGGGCCTTTATCTAAATCACCATACAATGCCAAAAGAAACTCTTTTTAAATTTATCTCATTGTTCGTCGTATCCTTCACACTAGTTATTTTCTTTCTCTCTTTCACTGAATAATCATATACGACTTTCTGTTGGAATCAGAAAAAATGAACCGTTAAAGACCATTACAAACCTGTATTTTTAACCGACAGTTAAATACTTATTTAACTTAATTTCTTTTCATATAGTGCTTCATTAATCCCATTGTCTTTTGATGATCCCTTAAACAGAAGAAGTTGCTTCCTTAACCCAGTGCATAAACAACTGAACACACAGAGGAGGCAGCTGTTGCATGATTTGTTGGACATGAAAGGTTAGTCAAGTGTATTCTTTTTATAACTTATTAAATTGCTTATATAACTGTGGTCAATTAAAAAACAATTTAATTTAATTTCTAATTTTAAAATATAATCAAAATATTTAATCAATGGATTATTTATTTTATAATATAATTAAATCAAAATCAAAGTTAATTCATGTATCGTATGGTCCATCGCATATTGCAGGGAACATTCGTGTTTTCTGCCGAGTGCGGCCATTGACGTTGGCAGAAAGTATAGGCGGTTTAGGCTTCGGATTCGGTGCCGTTGTGGCTTTGGATACAAGCAACCTCCTTTTAGAGCTCGGTAATAACAAAAGTAAACGCTACACCTTCGACAAAGTGTTCCAAGGATCATCCCAAGGTACCCTCTGCATCTTGCTCTTCTTTTAAACAATCACAATTGATCCCATGCATTCATTGTGTGTTTGACCTCTGAGTTTTCAGATGGGGTTTTCTCGGAAGTTGAACCGGTCATCAAGTCCGTCCTCGATGGTTACAATGCCTGCATTTTTGCATACGGCCAAACCGGAACCGGGAAAACCTTCACAATGGTAGGAGACCTCACATTCACTTCCACAGTTCTGATTCCACAATGGTTGATGCTATTATATCCCAAACATACAGGAAGGTACATTGGAATCTCCCGGCATAGTGCCCCGGACGATAGAGACTTTGTTCAAGCAAACCGAGGATAGCAACCATACCTTCCTTATCACTTTCAGTATGCTTGAGATTTATCTAGGAAAACTCAGGGACTTACTTGTACCGCAAGCTACAAGGTCGACAGATCCTTTGCCACCATGGTCAGTAATCACTATGCAAAATACAGTTGTGTGCAAATGCCTGCTGATTTGGATGCAGCGATGTTTGTGTGCAGCCTTTCAATTCAGACCGATCCGAATGGAGGAATCAGAATCGAGAACCTCGTTTCCATCCAAGTAAGCGACTTCAACCAGGCTTTGAAGCTGTATAGATTCGGGTGCCAACTCCGTTCGACTGCTTCGACAAATTCCAACACAACTTCTAGCAGATCCCACTGGTAAATACTAGTTTTTATCTATACTAATTCTAGGAACAGCAGAGTGGATGACCATTTGTCTTTGTTGTTGCTCCCGTTAGCATGATTCGCATTTCGATTACTTGCTTCGACGCTCCCGAAAGACGACGAGAAACGAATAAAATCTGGTTAGTTGATCTCGGAGGAAGTGAACGGGTGGTGAAGACCAAGGCATGGGGAAGAAGACTTGATGAAGGAAGAGCCATCAATCTGTCTCTTTCGGCTCTTGGAGACGTAATTCATGCACTCCAAAGGAGTAAATGCCACATTCCATACAGGAACAGCAAGCTGACAAGAGTGCTTAAAGATTCATTAGGTAAACTAATGATTCTTCTTCTCTAAATTCCATTTCTCATTCACCTAATTGTCAAGAAACATCAACAGTTAAGCTGAATTATATTCTTTTCCGGACTTTCTCGACTCATTCGTTACCTTTAGGTGACGATTCGAAAACACTGATGCTTGTACATGTCAGTCCCAAAGAAGAAGATCTTTGTGAAACAATCTGTTCATTAAATTTCGCATCAAGGGCGAAAAATGTTCGATTGGGGCACGAGGAGTCCAATGTAAGTGATGAACAAGTATCCCACAATTTAAATATCTGCACGGAAGCCTTTAACACTTTTGAACAATTAAAAATCAGGAAGTGAAAAACCAGAGGGAAGCTGCTATGCAGAATCTGCAGCAGAAGATTAAAGAGATTGAAGATGAACGTCAACATATTAGAGGAAAGCTCCAAATTTCAAACCGCAAATTAGAAGTGACAAGGAAACGTCTACCTTTAGAAGATCAAGTAGAGCCTTCTGATTTATCTACCGAACTCGTGCCGCCTTCTGAGCTCGAGTTTACCAAGAGCATCAAAGGAAATGTCAGATCAGAAATGCCAAGTTTTATGAGATCAACTATCTGCAGTAGAACGAAAACCGGGATGGAACGTCAAACTTCGCTGGATTCAAGAAGAAAAAGAAGACCGACATCTCAGCGAGCCGAATCAGTGAGTTTCCCGGTGAAGAATAATTCAGAGTGCAACTCTGACTATAGCATTTCAAGATCTACATGTGCAGTGGAATTCAACAAGAAAACAGGTGTAGAGTTAGATAATGCTACGGTATACAGTCAAGACATATTGGAATGCGATATTAAAACGGTTATATTACCAGATCGGAACATGTCACAGATGACATCAAACCATAGGAACATGGAGAAGAGAGGAAGTATAAAATCAAACAAATGCAACTCTACCAAAGTTTCTAAGGTTGATCAATGGTTTACCTTGCATAAGGATGAACCTACTATTAGTGGACCTGCCCCAAGGAATAAATGGGTTTTAGATATTCCTCTCCTGGAGAATAAACAGAGATC